TAGAAACTCTTTACATCCAATCTGTGGCAGACCTCTTTACATTATCTTTACGTCCGACCTCTTTACATCCCTTTTATCTCCGACCTCTTTTACATCCCTTTTATGTCTGACCTCTTTTTACATCCACTTTGTGACCGACCTTCTTCACATCCCTCTTAGACCGACCTTTTACATCCCCTTTTACGTCCGACCTCTCTTTACATCCCTTTACGTCCTACCTCTTTTACATCCTCTGTGATCGACCTCTTTACATCCCCTTTACGTCCGACCTCTTTACATACCCTCTGTGACCGACCTCTTTACATCCCCTTTATGTCCGACCTCATAACATCCCTCTACGACCGACCTGTTCATCCCCTCTATGACCAACCTCATAACATCCCCTCTATGACCAACCTCATTACATCCCCTCTTTGTCCGACCTCATTACATCCCCTCTATGTCCAACCTCATTACAACCCCTCCATGTCTGACCTAATTACATACCCTCTATATCTGACCTCATTACATCCCCTCTATGTCCAACCTCATTACATCCCCTTTAAGTCCGACCTCATTACATCCCCTCTATATCTGACCTCATTACATCCCCTCTTTGTCCGACGTCATTACATCCCTCTATGTCTGACGTCATTACATCCTCTATGTCCGACCCATTACATCCCCTCTATGTCCGACCTCATTACATCCCTCTATATCTGACCTCATTACATCCCCTCTATGTCTGGACCCCATTACGTCCCTCTATGTCCGACCTCATTACATCCCCTCTATGTCTGGACCCTATTACGTCCTCTATGTCCGACCTCATTACATCCCTCTATATCCGACCTCATTACATCCTCTATGTCTGACCTCATTACATCCCTCTATGTCCGACGTCATAACATCCCTCTATGTCCGACCTCATTACATCCTCTGTAAGTCTGACCTCATTACATCCCTCTATGTCTGACCTCATCACATCCCTTACATATTTGACCCCATCACATCCCTCTATGTCCGACCTCATTAATCCCCTCTATGTCCGACCTCATTACACCCACCATATGTCCGACCTCATTGCATCCCCTCTATGTCTGACCTCATTACATCCCCTCTATGTCCGACCTCATAACATCCCTCTACGACCGACCTGTTCATCCCCTCTATAACCGGCCCCATTACATCGCTCTCTATGTCCAACCTCATTACATCCCTCTATGTCCGACCTCATTACATCCCTCTATGTCCGACCTCATAACATCTCTCTACGACCGAGCTGTTCATCCCTCTATAACCGGCCCCATTACATACCTCTCTATAACCGGCCCCATTACATCGCTCTCTATGTCAAACCTCATTACAACCCTCTATGTCCGACCTCATAACATCCTCTACGACCGACCTGTTCATCCCTCTATAACCGGCCCCATTACATACCCTCTATGTCCGACCTCATTACATCCCCTATGTCTGACCTCTTTACATCCCTCTATGTCCGACCTCATTACAACCCTCTATGTCCGACCTCATTACATCCCTCTCTATGTCTGACCTCATTATATCCCTCCATTTCTGACGTCATTAAATCCCTCTATGTCCGACCTCATTACATCCCTCTATGTCCGACCTCATTACATCCCTCTATGTCTGACCTCATTACATCCCCTCTATGTCCGACCTCATTACATCCCCTCTATGTCTGACCCCATTAGATCCCCTCCATGTCCGACCCCATTACATCCCCTCTATATCCGACCTCATTACATCCCATCTCCGACTCCATTACACCCCGTCTATGTCCGACTCCATTACATCCCCTCTTTGTCCGACCCCATTACATCCCCTCCATGTCCGACCTCATTACATCCGATCTGTCTCCGACCTCATTACATCCCGTCTATGTCCGACCTCATTACATCCCATCTCCGACTCCATTACACACCCTCTGAGTCCGACCCCATTACATCCCCTGTATGTCTGACCTCGTTATCCGATCTGTCTCCGACCTCATTACATCCCCTCTATGTCCGACCTCATTACAGCCCATCTCCGACTCCATTACACCCCCTCTATGTCCGACCCCATTACATCCCCTGTATGTCTGACCTCATTACATCCGATCTGTCTCCGACCTCATTACATCCCCTCTATGTCCGACCTCATTACATCCCATGTCCGACCTCATTACATCCCCTCTATGTCCGACCTCATCACATCCACTGTGTCAAACTTATATGGGTGATCGCCTGGTTTATACTTTCAGTGGAGTAGTCTGTTATGTACACAAAGTGGGTGAAATATGTTTTTTTTTAAAGTCCTAACAGACCTTTTTACATCCTTACAGACATTTCTACAGTTCTGTCCCTTGATGCCGATTGCTTCTTGGGATTGCTTTAATCTACCAATCTTTCATGTTTTTAAGTACTAGAATCTGTACTTAACTGAGAAAGTATAATCCCAAATATAGCATATGGTTTACTTTCTGATGTTGGCAGTGAAGGCTTTGATCCTTGTCACACTGGCTGCTGTCATTGGTGTTTTTAACGGATATCATTTGACAAAGCTTTTTGTCAAGACAGCTTTCGAGTCTCTGATGTTCATAAAATAGGGAGATGACGTTTCGCCAATAGAGGTTGCCCAAAGCCGTTTTTCCACAGAGGTCTATAGTTAAGATATGTAAGCCCTCAACAATTATTACGTATATATATGTGTTCACTCTAGCTTCAAAGCAGCAATAGCAACAACTTAAATGGCAAGCTTAACCAGTAAGCTGGTTCCCGGCTCCCTTGCGCGCGCTAACGTTCGACAAAGCGATATTACGATATGCGAGACGGGGCCCAGCTTAGCTTAACCAGTACCTCTTCTGAGGAAAGGAAGCCACACTCACAACCCCAGTCCCGCACCAGATGTCACCCACTGGAAAATAGCTTTCATATTTTTTTACAAATGATACCACTAAATAGTTTTGTTTACAAGATGCATGGTCTTTTAGAAAGCACAAACATGTTTTACAAAAGTTTCCAATCACTGATGATATTATCTGTACTGTCTCCTGATACTGACTCCGAATGATATTGTACGATTGTAGCTATCATACAGAAGACAAGCCGCCTAGGCAACCCAGTGGATAATATGGAATTCGCTGCACAGAGTTGCGTCCCTTAGTCGTGTAAGGATCCGATGGACGTGAGTTTGAATCTTAACCTGACCATGATTATGACTGTTGGGTCAGCGCCATGTTCACTGAGCAGAACGGTGAACATGTGGAGTCTGGGACTGTCAGCGAACTCCTTTCCGTCTACTCAAAGTATGCTCACGGACAGACATTGGCATAAGGAACAATAGGGACTGTCAGCGAACTCCTTTCCGTCTACTCAAAGTATGTTCACAGACAGACATTGGCAATAGGAACAATAGGGACTGTCAGTGAACTCCTTTCCGTCTACTCAAAGTATGCTCACAGACTGACATTGGCATAAGGAACAATAGGGACTGTCAGTGAACTCCTTTCTGTCTACTCAAAGTATGCTCACAGACAGGCATTGGCATAAGGAACAATAGGGACTATCAGTGAACTCCTTTCTGTCTACTCAAAGTATGCTCACAGACAGACATTGGCAAAAGGAACAATAGGGACTGTCAGTGAACTCCTTTCCGTCTACTCAAAGTATGCTCACAGACAGGCATTAGCATAAGGAACAATAGGGACTGTCAGTGAACTCCTTTCCGTCTACTCAAAGTATGCTCACAGACAGGCATTAGCATAAGGAACAATAGGGACTGTCAGTGAACTCCTTTCTGTCTACTCAAAGTATGCTCACAGACAGGCATTGGCATAAGGAACAATAGGGACTATCATAGACTAACAACTAGTCTCTGAAATGAACATATTTTACTGAAAAAGGTTTATAGTAAAAAATAAAATATATAATGAAAAGGAGCCCTGAGACTTTCTTCATAAGCTGAGGAAATCTAGACTTGCCACATTTTCTAGACTTGTGTGGGCTTTTTTGGATATATTTGCTTCAGGGTCTGTACGAGAGACTAGGACTATCAGTGAACTCCTTTCTGTCTACTCCAAGTATGCTCACAGACAGACATTGGCAGAAAGGACATCACCAAGTCTAAGCGTGTCCATAACTGACGTTATTGTATGCAGAGAGGCCTGAAATAAGTACTGTCTCTAATGCTTTAGTTGTTTAATTTAAACCACATGTGTCGTATACATTGTATATTTATTTCATTGGCATATCTAATAGTTTCAAAAACATTCCTGTCATGTTTGACAAATCTTGCAAATACGTGGCTTATCTTTTCAAGTGGTGTGACACAGCATATGTTTTACCGATACACGTTATTTGTCCAGTAACCACTACATATATTTTAAATTAAATTTACCAGACAAAATACAGGCTGTACAGAGAGCAGTCCATTCACTTAGTGAATGCTCATAGTGCTAACAAACAAAACACAGCACATTATTATCCCGGATAACCCAAGCTGCCTGTGAGGCGCTAAAAGGACTTATACCACCGGGTACCCATTTTCTGCTGGGTGAACAGAGGTAATTTTGAATAAACTCACTTGCCTAAGGTGAGACCACATGTAACACATGTGCTTCGTTGTGGAGCAGGACTGAAGTCCCAGAAACTCTCAGGAGTCAAGCCATCAAGGTCACCCATTTAAGGACTCTTGCTTAACTTCAACTGATTTTGACCTGAGCTCTGTGCACAGGACCACACGCCACACCACCTTTGGGGTAACTGTTCCCTAAAGAAACACTGATCCTGATTCAGTAATAAGTTTTTTCACCATTCATTGATATTATATGTCTCATTTATTACAGTACAGAATGACCTGACCAGCAACGCACCTGTGTCGCTGAGATCATGGATTTCACAATGTTTATCATCTGATAGATAACACGTGTTCTTGAGCTAAGAGTCAGTTATAGCAAATGACCCGGCTAGCAAGACACCCAGTTCATACATTTCACAATTCTTATCGCTGGCTGTGAGCGCCAGGTATATATAAACCCGAACCACACACACTTGCTCCAGAGTAAATTATCGCCAACATGTTGTTTTTCAGTCTTGTCGTAGTGTTCGTTCCCGCTGTTCTGGGGGGTAATATCTGCTGCACCCCCCGCCAGTGGGAGGGTGTGGAGGCTCAGGTGATTGGTACTGTGAAAACTGGAGGAACGCCACTGCTGTCAGAGGTATTTACGCTTTTCATATTTTTATTTATCCATGAAAATTGACCGCCGGACAGTCATTCTCCTTTGAAAGGTAACACTGCTGTGTATATTTGACTCACTATTTCGAATCACTTTACTTAGTCCTAATGACAATACTTTTTTCAAATGTGAGCATGCATTGGTCATTTGCAAAGGTGTGTTTACATTTCATCTCCAAAGGTGACGTAAATATCCGATGTCGCTACAAAGATCTACAAATTGAATTGTGCAGAATGATATGCGTGCCAACCAGAGTTTATCCAATCAGGTTTTCGATTTCAACAAGATATCTGATATTTTAAACAATTATTTTACAGTTGTATCATGCTGTTTCAATACAGATAAAAAATTAAATGAAATTAAAGTCACGCAATTAACGTATATGCCACGTTTGTGAAGAGCTTCACAGTGTGTGTAGGTATTCCAGACAAGTCACTTGAACACGGGGTTGAAGTTATTTCTTCACCGCAAGTCAGCAGGGACATTTTGGTAGTTAGTAAGACAGAACGATTTTAAGCTTTCGGATGTCAAAACACAGGCCCTCGTGTCTTTGCGAGGATTAAAGATGTTAAAAACACATAAAACATTTGAGATGACCCCGACTCGAATGTGAAGCATTTCGAGTCGGGGGTCATCTCAAATACTATTTTGTTTTAAATCTTTAATCTTCGCAAAGACACGAGGGCCTGTGATGTCAAAGTGTGATTGAATCAGTTAATGGTCATTCTTAGGTTTGTGGTAGTGTATATTTCTCTTTCGGAATACATTTTAATGCGACATATTGAGGAAACATCAGAGTTGCATAAACTGTCACTAAACAACGCTAACAAGTTATGTCAATTACATGCATTCCTCATAGTTAATTAAATGTTCATATTTAGCGAAATCGTCTCGTCAAATGTGATATGAATTTAAGCTTCAGAGACGTAAGTTACCTGAAGTAACAAAACATTCGAAAATATCCATTGTACCCTGTGGATATCCAGTCCACTCCTTGCACCTTTTAATATTCTATTATGTATATTCTTATTTAAAAATCACCCTATCAATTCAGATCAATTTCCGTCATGTCATGATGTTAAGAGGCAGTCAGTGAGAAATATATAGACAGTAACATTGATTATGAACGAGAAGTAATCACTCGGGAATGACTGAGAAGTGACAATACATTCTATCCTTATATTTGTGTTGTATTTTGTGAGATAATTGTCTTCTTCCAGACTGAAATAAAAGTTTCCGTTGATGCCACTAACAACAGGATGGCCTTTGACGAACAAGTCACGGCAAACGGATACACCGTCAATGTCAAGGTCGTCCAGCTCTGGGATAAAGTAGGCTATTCCCCACAACATTTTCACATGATAGTTAAAGATATATTTACAAGAAATGTCCATATGTAGTGATGCAACGTTAAGAGCACATATAGATTTAAACATGGTGTTTGTAAATGCGCCCATGAATATCTTCTGTTTGGGTGCCCCCATCGCCTGCGTTACACTGGAGTCTACTTGTGTTAATGCCATACATGATTATACTTTGAAGAAGACGGAGTACATCATCCAGCAGACCAGGACGTGCGCTCGCAAACAGCTGACCGGTGACTTCCCGAGTGGCTGTATACCAGGTCAGTATATACAGAGACCATATGTTGGTCATCATATTGCATACTGATATATCTACAAGACAAAACTATTGGTGGAGAGGTGGGGTTGCCTAATGGTTGAAGAGTCGCTAGTCACGCTGAAGTCCCGAGTTCGATTCCTCTCATGGGTACATTGTGTGATGCCCATTTCTGGTGTCACCTGCGGTGATATTGCTGGAATATTACTAAAAGCAGCGTTAAACCATACTCACTCACTCACTCACTCAAACCATTGGTTGACAGATCAAATATTACATACTAATATATCTACAATACAAACTATTGGTCGACAGAAAACACCAGATATTACATACTGATATATCTACAATACAACTATTGGTCGACAGAAAACACCAGATATTACATACTGATATATCTACAATACAACTATTGGTCGACAGAAAACACCAGATATTACATACTGATATATCTACAATACAACTATTGGTCGACAGAAAACACCAGATATTACATACTAATATATCTACAATACAAACTATTGGTCGACAGAAAACATCTGTTATTACATACTGATATAACTACAATACAAACTATTGATCGACAGAAACCATCAGATATTACATACTAATATATCTACAATACAAACTATTTGTTGACAGAAAACTTCTTTTATTACATACTGATATATCTATAGTACTAACTATTGGTAGACAGAAAACATCGGATATTACATACTGATATATCTACAATACAATCTATTGGTCGTCAGTCAACATCGGATATTACATACTGATATATGTACAATATAATCTATTGGTCGTCAGTCAACATCAGTTATTACAAGGTCAAATGTGAACACCATCAACTTGACGTGACAAGTAAGAGAGAGAACTCCAAAGAGACGGATTGCATGAGCCAACTTGTGGTGATGGTGACGGACTGATGAGACAGCCATTTCTAGTGCTCCGTCGTGACATGGTTGGAACATTGCTAAAAGCGGCGTAAAACCATACTCACTCACACATTGATAACACATTTCAGCGCTTTATTAGAACTAAACCTTCTTAGCACATTATGTTATGGCAGATCTTCAATAATGGGGTTACTTGTATTCACAGACACTGCTACGTTGACGGGGAAGCATTTCGAGGGCTCTCCCCAAAACAAGGTCACCTACAACTCCTACCGTATCGTCGACGCTGCCAAAGGCGTTACCATCATTGCGGACATGACTTCAGACACATGCGAACCCATCAGACAGGAGACATTCGGAAACTCTGGAACTGGTAACAAACCATTATATGTGGCAGATCTCAAGCTAATATCGCTACAAGAAATTGGTTGAACTTCTCATTTTAAGGTTGGTCAGTACAAAACGTATGGTCTCGAGATAGAGGAATTGTGGTCGGAATTAGTTGTGCCTTGAAAGGATTGTTTGACTTCCATTTCATTTGTCGATTTGCCGGCTGCATTTGATTCTGTAGTAGTATTGGAATGTACTGTACAGTGTGAAATTATTCTTAAAGTTATCTGTAACTCAAACATTATGAAAAACAGGTATCACGGTGCAAGGTGGAAATGGTTGTAGCGGTAGGGGTACCTTGATAGGATAGCACCGTAGTGGGACCCAAACAGTGTTCTCTTGTGGTGGGGCGGTGGGGTAGCCTTGTGGTTAAAGCGTTGGCGCTCGTCACGCCGAAGACCCCGGTTCGATTCCCTACATGGGTACAATGTGTGAAGCCCATTTCTGGTGTCCCACGCCGTGATATTGCTGGAATATTGCTAAAAGCGGCGTTAAACCATACTCACTCACTCACTCCTCTTGTAGCGCTGCTGGTACCCTGGTAGGAGAGCGGAATAGTGGTACGTTAGAAGTTTCGTATTGTAGCAAAGCAGCGTTACAGGGATACAGTTATCCATATCTTTAAACTATCTGCTGCAAGACACAACACGATGAAGGGATGAGCCTTTTATTTTCTCAATTAACTAAACTTAGCATGAATTGTACTGGAGAACGGATGTAGGAAATCATATGAATAACAGATGATATACACCTTGTAACAATTCCACCTATTTTTCAGAATATTACCTTATTTCAAACCGTTACTACGACATCAGCGGAGGCATCAAAAACACCACAGTCTTCGACGTTCCTCCAGCCTGCAACAACGCACCCTTCGTGGTAAGACATTTATGTATTTATGTAGTAATCGGTGCGAATTTCTTCGTGTGTCCTGATGCTGACGTTCAGCGTATTCTAAAGAATATGAGTGTGATTTGGGTTGAACGTTGCTTTATATACGACTTTAGTTTTCTAGCGTTGTTAAAATATAATAGCTAAGCTACGAAATAAATAAATAGTGCCGATTTGGGGATTCGAACCCACGACTGCGGCTTAGAGGTGCAGCGTTGGATAGCAAAGTCCATGTCATAAACAACGTGGCCATCCACATCTGTGGCTTCTACATGCTGGCTGCAATCAAACACTTAAGTCGAAACAACCACATCGCGGTTAAATTGTATCCGGCCGTGTTAAATATCATATTTTACATAAAACCTGGCACCAGTGAAGAGCCACCTCCTCGTGGTGGGTGCTGGGTAACGCTAAGAGCTCTTCAAACCCACCCACCCACGCCTTCTTCAACACTCCAGCAGTCTGATCTTCAAGTTCTCTATGACCAACTTCCTAAACCTTGTATTATAATGGGTGATCTCAATGGCCATAACCCGATCTGGGGTGGTACAAGCACTAACTCTAAAGGTGAAATACTGGAAGATTTTATCTCCAATAATGACTTATGTATATACAATGACGATTCGAGCACTTATCTGCATCCTGCAACCGGCACCTACTCTTCTCTAGATTTGTCCCTTGCAGACTCTAACCTCCTCAATGAACTTGATTGGTCAGTCCACAATGACCTCTGTGGAAGTGACCACTTTCCAACTATCCTATCAGAAATTTATCCATCTGATTCTACATCTTATGCAAGATGGAATTTGTCCAAGGCAGACTGGTCCTTATTTCAAGCTTTATGCACATCTAAACTAAGACCCGAATATTTCAGTGATATAACTGATCCTATTCGTGTTTTTTTCTGATGTTTTAAATGAAATAGCTGATGAGTGTATACCAAACTCCACATGTACGGAAACCATGGTTTAATACAGATTGTAGGCAAGCCAGAAAAGCGAGGAAAAAGGCAGAGAACTATTTCCGCCATAACCCAACTGTCCATAACTTAAATATATTTAAAATACTCAATGCGAAGGCGCGTCGTACCTTTAAACAAAACAAACGACAATCTTGGAGGAACTATGTCTCCAAAATTAATTCACGCACGCCAATGTCCAGAGTATGGAACATGGTTCAAAGAATTAAAGGCAAGGGTTCAAAATCTGCTGTTCACCATCTTAAATAAAGATGGCGACAATTTAATTACTGACAAATCTAAAATTGCAAATAAGATTGGCGAAACTCTTGCCAAAAATTCTTCACCAGCAAATTATGTCCCTGAGTTTCAGACATATCAGAAACAACAGGAAAAGTCAAAAGTTAATTTTGATTCAAATGATGACTATAATGAAGTGTTTTCATGACATGAGCTATACACAGCTCTTGAGCAAGCTCATGACACTGCAGCGGGTGATGATAATATTCATTATCAGCTACTGAAACACTTGCCTGAACCATGTCTGGTCACACTCTTAGATATATTTGGCCAAATATGGACGTCTGGAAACTTTCCTCCTTCATGGCGTAATGCCATTGTAGTCCCTATACCCAAACCTGGCCGGGATCATACTGATCCTTCCAATTAGAGACCGAAATCTTTACTAGCTGCGTCTGTAAAACCATGGAACGAATGGTAAATAACAGATTAATTTGGTATCTGGATACCAATAACCTCATTACAAATATTCAATGTGGTTTTCGGAAGAATAGAAGTACTATTGATCATTTAGTACGATTAGAATATCCTTTGTCAAAAAATGCTATTATAACTAAACAACATGCAGTATCAATCTTTTTTTATCTTGAAAAAGCATATGATACTACTTGGAAGCATGGCATTTTAAAGGATTTACATGATTTTGGTTTGCGAGGTCGTTTGCCTCTTTTTATATCCCAGTTTTTAACCGACAGACAATTTCAAGTCCGAGTGGGTTCAACCCTGTCTGTTCATTACAATCAGGATCAGGATGTCCCACAAGGCAGTATTTTGTCTGTCACGCTATTTAGAATTAAAATAAATAGTCTTTCGAAGGGTTTAAGTGATTCAATCGATGTATCCCTTTTCGTGGATGATTTTAATATTTCTTGCCGTGGTAAGAATATGCGAACTATTGTCTTAACAAAATTCATAGATGGTGTCTGGAAAACGGGTTTAAATTTTCGAAATCCAAAACCAAATGTATACATTTTTGTAGGAAATACAAACCCCATAAAGACCCTGAATTATCCTTAAATGGAACACCCATCAAGGTTGTCAAGGAAGCTAAATTCCTTGGTCTCATCTTTGACTCGCATTTAACCTTTCTGCCACATATTAAACATCAAAAAGCCAAATGCCTGAAGGCACTCGACTTGTTAAAAGTCGTTTCCAATTCAAAGTGGGAAGGGGACCAAATTACCCTCCTTCACTTATATCGATCACTGGTCCGATCCAAACTCGACTATGGCTCCATCGTATATAGCGGAGCCTTCAAAAGCAACCTTAAACTACTTGATCCTGTCCACCACCAAGATTAAAGACTTTTTCTTGGATCATTTAGAACTTCTCCTGTTGATAGTCTCTACGTCGAGGCAGATGAGCCTTCTCTTACCCAACGCCGTATAAAATTATCTTTACAATATATTACCAAACTATATTCAAACTATATTCTAATCCTGCATTCAACTGTGTCTTCAATCCTCTTTATGAGGATTTGTACAACAAACGTCTTCTCTTGTTCCGCCTCTTGGACACAGAACTAAACCATCCATTTCTGCTGCCGGCATTGAGCTGGAGAATATATCTCCTTCTCATCTTCTTTCTTCTCCTCCTTGGCAGAAGTTGACTTAACATTGACCACATTTAAAAAATCAGAAACTAATGAATTAAGGTATAAACAAGAATTTAGTCAATTAGGAAATAAATATAATACATATAAATCCTTATTTACAGATGGGTCCAAGGATGGTGGCGCAGTAGCTTGTGCCACTGTCATTGGATCCAGAACAATATCTTCTCGATTGCCTGATAACAGCTCTATTTAACGCCATCTTAACAGCCTTAAAATATATTAATAAACACCCTAAATATAAACAAAATATCATCTTTTCAGACTCTCTTTCATGCCTTCAGGCTATTAAAAATCTTTCTGGCAAACATCCACTTTTAATTGAAATTATTGAATTATATAATGATCTTGCTACTGGCCAGTACGACATCGTCCTCTGTTGGTTACCCAGCCACGTTTGAATCTCTGGTAATACAATGGCTGATCTTGCTGCCAATGCAGGACTCAACAAATCTGTGACACCACTTCTTATTCCATACTCCAATTTCAAAGCTAGCATTAGAACTTACATCCGTAATCTGGTGCAGAAGAAGTGGGACGCTCAAGTAGGTATCAATAAGTTACATGAAATAAAACCCTATATTGGTTACACCTACTTGGGTTGTCAGTCCAGATTTGAGGAGGTCATTATGCGACGATGTCGCATTGGCCATACGCGTTATACTCACAAATGCTTGTTAAAAGGTGAAGATCCTCCGTTTTGTATCCCTTGTGATAAGAGAGTCACGGTCAAGCATATCTTGCTTGACTGTGTTGAATTCTCCATCATAAGGGATAAATATTTCAATGTGAAAACAGTTAAGGATCTTTTTAACACTGTTAATTTTCATTTAATTATTGGTTTTTTAAAAGAAATTGATTTAATAGATGAATTTCGAATAATGTGTTCTGTAGAGGTATTTTAATCATTGGTAGTTTAGATTAGTAACTTAGATTGTTAGTGGCTGTACCCTCAAAGGGGGTTAAAGTACCGTAAAATTATTGTCCTCCTGAGAGGGTACGTAAGTCCCAAAACTTTCAAAGTAAAATATAAATTATCACGTTTTAAACGTAATACTTGTGTTATTTTAACTGTTGGCTAAATTTTCCTACAATCGCCAGCGGCTGAAGGGACGGTGTAAATCCAGCTAGGCTCCATGCAGGTAGCAAAAGTAATGTAAGTCCCCATGGTTCCTAGTATGGTGATCGACCTTCAGTTGTTGGCGATCTATAGCCCGTGTTTATACTGTATTGTCTTCTTTAATTTGAATTTTTTAGCTTTGCTCGCTAGTTTTATATTCATATCTGTGATTCTCTAGTAATTTTACTGTCCATCATCGACAGGTTTTAATCTTCCAAATGTTCTCACCTTTTATTGTATGGATTGTTCTCGTCACGATATGGCTGAGATATTGCCGATGTGACGTTAAATATTAACTCACTCACTCATTCAACTTAGATTGTTAGTGGCTGTATCCTCAAAGGGGGTTGAAGTACCGTAAAATTATTGTCCTCCTGAGAGTGTACGTACGTCCCAAAAACTTTCAAAGTAAATTTTCACGTAACAAGTTCTTAAACGTAGTATCTTTGTTCTTTTAAATTTCGGCTAAATTATCCTACAATCGCCAGCGGCTGAAGGGATGGTGTAAATCCAGCTAGGCTCCATGCAGGTAGCAAAAGTAATGTAAGTCCCCATGGTTCCTAGTATGGTGATCTACCTTCAGTTGTTGGCGATCTATAACCTGTATTTATATTGTATTGTCCAAATAGTGCTATTAGTTTTAGCTTTCCACGCTAATTCTAAGTTTTAATTCTAATTGTGATATTCTAGTTGTTTTACTGTCCTTCGTCGGCAGGTTCTATAATATACATATCTTCCATTTCAATGTCAAATATGTTTTAGTCACGATATGGCTGCAATATTGCCGATGTGACGTTAAATAATAACTCACTCACTCACATAAAACCTACTGGCTCAATATCTTCGCTTATCTCACATGGCCCTTCAGGTATAGTTTTATTTTTAGTTATTATTTCATTCGACTGAGCATCAAGTTCAAGTATTTCTATTCATTCCAGGGAACTTCCGGGAGCCAAAGAGGAGCCTTGTTCGGATGAGGAATGACTTCACCTCATACACGTCAACCTGCAAACCAAGACACATTTTCAAAAGTAAATGTACTTCAGATCAAATAAAGTGCGTTGTATTTACTGTCACGTGTATGTTCTCTTGTGTATTGGGATTCTGTATTATTTGCCGATAAACAAATAATCAATTTGGTGAGGCCTTCATTTGAACCCTTTTGTTTGGTTTGGTTTTGGGGGGATATTTTTATTACTATTCTGATGGGAGAGCTGATGTGATGTGTGTGTGGGCGTGTGTATAGTGGGGGAGGAGGGGGAGAGTGTTTGTCAACTTTTTCTTAACTCACCTGACCCTGGACGTCGTCGAAATAAACTAGGCGGCAAAATAAAGTATAGGTCCAGTTTGATGATCCGTAAAAAGACACAAAACAAGATGTTTGGTTCAAGCATAATATAATATGGAGAATTGTTACAGATGACCATTCAGTGACATTTTGGACGAGATACTGACAACACGTGACTTGTGAGCAGTAACTTCTTTGAGAGGCATTTAGAAGTGGGAGCAGTAAGGAAGGATAACAACATATGGATGAACAATATATGGATGAACAACATATGGATGAACAACATATGGATGAACAAGTTCTTTATTGCAATGAGAGCGACGTTTCGGTGTAGGCTCTAACACCGTTATCAAGCAAGTGATGAACACCATAACGATGAAGGCGCAAGTTAGACCAAGGTTACTACATACCTCCTGTGTACTACCAGCTAATTAAAGATCCTCATCATCGATAATCCCCCATTTATGTATACAACTCATTATCATCCTCATAATCACCTATTTATGTATACCACAGGCTTCACTTCCCTACGGTGTACTTTGCAGGCTTCATTTGTTAACGCTTTCATCTAAGCTCTTGTGTTGTTATTCTGGCTTCCTCATCCCCATTGTACTGTACAAACATCTGCTCTAACTTGTATATATGCTCCTTCATCGTTATGCTGTTCATCACTTGCTTGATAACGGTGTTAGAACCTACACCGAAACGTCGCTCTCACAGCAATAAAGAAGTTGTTCATCCATATGTTGTCCATCCATATGTTGTTGCTGTCAGTACAGAGTTTCATCATGGTATGCCTGCTGTCTGTACAGAGTTTCATCATGGTATGCCTGCTGTCTGTACAGAGTTTTATCATGGTATGTCTGCTGTATGTACATAGGTTCATCATGGTATGCCTGCTGTCTGTACAGAGTTTTATCATGGTATGCCTGGGTCTGTACAGAGTTTCATCATGGTATGCCTGCTGTATGTACATAGGTTCATCATGGTATGCCTGGGTCTGTACAGAGTTTCATCATGTTATGCCTGCTGTCTGTACAGAGTTTCATCATGGTATGCCTTGGTCTTTACAGAGTTTTATCATGGTATGCCTGGGTCTGTACAGAGTTTCATCATGGTATGCTGCTGTATGTGCATTTTCATCACGGTATACCTGCTGTCTGTACAGAGTTTTATTATCGTATGCCTGGGGTATGTACAGTTTCATCATGGTATGCCTTGGTCTTTACAGAGTTTCATCATGGTATGCCTGCTGTATGTACATAGGTTCATCATGGTATGCCTGGGTCTGTACAGAGTTTCATCATGTTATGCCTGCTGTCTGTACAGAGTTTTATCATGGTATGCCTGCTGTCTGTACAGAGTTTCATCATGGTATGCCTGCTGTCTGTACAGAGTTTCATCATGGTATGCCTGCTGTCTGTACAGAGTTTCATCATGGTATGCCTGCTGTCTGTACAGAGTTTTATCATGGTATGTCTGCTGTATGTACATAGGTTCATCATGGTATGCCTGCTGTCTGTACAGAGTTTTATCATGGTATGCCTGGGTCTGTACAGAGTTTCATCATGGTATGCCTGCTGTATGTACATAGGTTCATCATGGTATGCCTGGGTCTGTACAGAGTTTCATCATGTTATGCCTGCTGTCTGTACAGAGTTTCATCATGGTATGCCTTGGTCTTTACAGAGTTTTATCATGGTATGCCTGGGTCTGTACAGAGTTTCATCATGTTATGCCTGCTGTCTGTACAGAGTTTCATCATGGTATGCCTTGGTCTTTACAGAGTTTCATCATGGTATGCTGCTGTATGTGCATTTTCATCACGGTATACCTGCTGTCTGTACAGAGTTTTATTATCGTATGCCTGGGGTTTGTACAGTTTCATCATGGTATGCCTTGGTCTGTACAGAGTTTCATCACGGTATACCTGCTGCCTGTACAGAGTTTTATTATCGTATGCCTTGGGTTTGTACAGTTTCATCATGGTATGGATGCTGTCTGTACAGAGTTTCATCACGGTATGTCTGGGGTCTGTACATAGTTACATCATGCTATATGTTGATGTCGTTACCGAGTTTCATCCTGGTGTGCCTGCTGTCTATACAGAGTTTTATCGTGGTGTGTCTACTGTCTGTGCAGAGTTTCATCCTGGTGTGCCTGCTGCCTACTTTTAAATATGGCATAAGGCCCATCTCTTTAATTATCTCTGACAATTGTTCATCCATGTATGCGCTGTGTTTTAGTTGCTCATATTAAATGGATATTGTCAGTCTGCATCATGGGTGCGTCCTAACTCAGTGTGCAATTCATGAAGCCATCAGTCTGCATCATGTGTGCGTCCTAACTCAGTGTGCAATTCATGTAGCCATCAGTCTGCATCATGTGTGCGTCCTAACTCAGTGTGCAATTCATGAAGTCATCAGCCTGCATCATGTGTGCGTCCTAACTCAGTGTGCAATTCATGAAGCCATCAGTCTGCATCATGTGTGCGTCCTAACTCAGTGTGCAATTCATGAAGCCATCAGTCTGCATCATGTGTGCGTCCTAACTCAGTGTGCAATTCATGAAGTCATCAGCCTGCATCATGTGCGTCCTAACTCAGTGTGCAATTCATGAAGCCATCAGTCTGCATCATGTGTGCGTCCTAACTCAGTGTGCAATTCATGAAACCATCAGTCTGCATCATGTGTGCGTCCTAACTCACTGTGCAATTCATGAAACCATCAGTCTGCATCATGTGTGCGTCCTAACTCAGTGTGCAATTCATGAAACCATCAGTCTGCATCATGGGTGCGTCCTAACTCAGTGTGCAATTCATGAAGCCATCAGTCTGCATCATGGGTGAGTCCTAACTCAGTGTGCAATTCATGTAGCCATCAGTCTGCATCATGTGTGCGTCCTAACTCAGTGTGCAATTCATGTAGCCATCAGTCTGCATCATGGGTGAGTCCTAACTCAGTGTGCAATTCATGTAGCCATCAGTCTGCATCATGTGTGCGTCCAACCAGTGTGCATCCATCAGTGCATGCGTCCTAACTCAGTGTGCAATTCATGAAACCATCAGTCTGCATCATGGGTGAGTCCTAACTCAGTGTGCAATTCATGAAACCATCAGTCTGCATCATGGGTGCGTCCTAACTCACTGTGCAATTCATGAAACCATCAGTCTGCATCATGGGTGCGTCCTAACTCACTGTGCAATTCATGAAGCCATCAGTCTGCATCATGTGTGCGTCCTAACTCAGTGTGCAATTCATGTAGCCATCAGTCTGCATCATGTGTGCGTCCTAACTCAGTGTGCAATTCATGAAACCATCAGTCTGCATCATGGGTGCGTCCTAACTCAGTGTGCAATTCATGAAACCATCAGTCTGCATCATGTGTGCGTCCTAACTCAGTGTGCAATTCATGAAGCCATCAGTCTGCATCATGTGTGCGTCCTAACTCAGTGTGCAATTCATGAAGTCATCAGTCTGCATCATTTGTGCGTCCTAACTCACTGTGCAATTCATGAAGCCATCAGTCTGCATCATGTGTGCGTCCTAACTCACTGTGCAATTCATGTAGCCATCAGTCTGCATCATGTGTGCGTCCTAACTCAGTGTGCAATTCATGAAGTCATCAGCCTGCATCATGTGTGTGTCCTAACTCAGTGTGCAATTCATGTAGCCATCAGTCTGCATCATGTGTGCGTCCTAACTCACTGTGCAATTCATGAAACCATCAGTCTGCATCATGTGGTGCGTCCTAACTCAGTGTGCAATTCATGTAGCCATCAGTCTGCATCATGTGTGCGTCCTAACTCAGTGTGCAATTCATGAAGCCATCAGTCTGCATCATGGGTGAGTCCTAACTCAGTGTGCAATTCATGAAACCATCAGTCTGCATCATGGGTGCGTCCTAACTCACTGTGCAATTCATGAAGCCATCAGTCTGCATCATGTGTGAGTCCTAACTCAGTGTGCAATTCATGAAGTCATCAGCCTGCATCATGTGTGCGTCCTAACTCACTGTGCAATTCATGAAGCCATCAGTCTGCATCATGTGTGCGTCCTAACTCAGTGTGCAATTCATGTAGCCATCAGTCTGCATCATGGGTGAGTCCTAACTCAGTGTGCAATTCATGAAGTCATCAGCCTGCATCATGTGTGCGTCCTAACTCACTGTGCAATTCATGAAGCCATCAGTCTGCATCATGTGTGCGTCCTAACTCAGTGTGCAATTCATGAAGCCATCAGTCTGCATCATGTGTGCGTCCTAACTCAGTGTGCAATTCATGTAGCCATCAGTCTGCATCATGTGTGCGTCCTAACTCAGTGTGCAATTCATGAAGTCATCAGCCTGCATCATGTGTGCGTCCTAACTCACTGTGCAATTCATGAAGCCATCAGTCTGCATCATGTGTGCGTCCTAACTCACTGTGCAATTCATGTAGCCATCAGTCTGCATCATGGGTGAGTCCTAACTCAGTGTGCAATTCATGAAGTCATCAGCCTGCATCATGTGTGCGTCTTAACTCACTGTGCAATTCATGAGGCCATCAGTCTGCATCATGTGTGCGTCCTAACTCACTGTGCAATTCATGAAACCATCAGTCTGCATCATGGGTGCGTCCTAACTCACTGTGCAATTCATGAAGCCATCAGTCTGCATCATGTGTGCGTCCTAACTCAGTGTGCAATTCATGTAGTCATCATGGTGGTGAATATGTCATGGGTAGCTGTCTTTATTGAATGAAGACACAATTATACAATAAATAATCTGCAATGTCTATGATGAACACTGTTCCCGGAAGTGGTTTCAGCACCAAGACCATATAAACACTCTTCTAAGGGATACAGGAGCTGATGAAGTGTGGACGATGTTAAAGCTAACAGTCTGCTCTGGTGTGTAGTCTTGTATGAGAAACATTAGAGGTACAATATTCCTCTATGAGACTCTCGGACATCAATGAACTTTGTGCAAGTAGTTGAACTGGTGTCTGTTCTGGTTAATGCTGAGCAGTGGCAAGTTACTATCTAACAAAATGCGGATTGTTCAGTTATACATCTGAAAACAGACATTATCGTTCACACTGCATCTTACAGAGGTCAGGCTTCAAATTGTATTTTTGACAGCTTATTTCCAGGCATCAGTGAGAGGTTGTCCTGTATCTGACACCCAGTGTCTAACAGAGGAAATACATGACCTATATAAAGCAGTAACATTGACAATGATGAATACTTCTCAGCACAAAACATTATGATTCACACACACTCAAAACTGAAGTTTGTGCAATGCCGAGGAACAACTCCAAAAAGTTTTGTTATTTTCTGACTTAGCACAACCGTAATAAATACTTCAGTCTTGTACATGCACCAAACAATGAAGACAGATTCACACAATGATACCGGGGGCATATGTATACAACAGTCGCAATCACTGATGGTCACTAATGCAGCATATATGTATATGTTCACATCAATCACTGGTGTTCAAGGTACACATGGAAGACAGCATATCCAGGGATGAGATTGATTATGAGTGAAAAAAAGAGGAATATAGCCAGGGATCTTGGGAACCGCATGTCCCCATGCCAGATCCAAGTTGGACGATTCACATGGAAGACCCCAGCACGATCAAATCTGAAGAATTCTGCGAATCTGGGGAAAATTCTCATCCCTGAATATCAATTCTGTTGTAGCAACTAATTTCCTTGGTACATTAGAACTATTATATATTCTTCACAACTTTATTCTGTACCGAAAATAATCTCATGTTTTCACCTTGGAATTTATCTGTGTCCAAATATGGAAATATTGATGTATCATGTTAATGTTTGTAAAAAAAAGCATTTCATTTCACATTTCATGGCAATACTGCCAGCAAAACATTCAAGGGATTTGGAGAGTTTTGAGTTTCCAAACCTCTTACAGCCTACATGCACCACACAAGGCTTGCTTATCCTCCTCAGACCAATAACATGTTGTGTACATACAATGGCAAGAAACAGTAGCGCAGACAGTGTAAACAATGGGACAATAATAACACAAGGCTGTTTACATGTAGTAATGATATGTTCAACACTTCAAATTTGAGCAATTTCTCTTGGAAAAAAATCACAATCAATGACTTTTCCCCATACACTACAACCCATAGGGTAGCTATCTATCCTTGTATCACAAACCACGTGCTCTGACTGTATGTCTATATATGGGCATGGATACCTCACATGCATCACACATGTAGTACACTGGTGCGTGAGTGGATTACAGCATTAGACTGACTGACTGAGTTTGGTTTTACGCCGCTTTTAGCAATATTCCAGCAACAACACGGCGGGGGACACCAGAAATGGGCTTCACACATTGTACCAATGTGGGGATTCGAACCCGGGCCTTCGGCGTGACGAGCCAACGTTTAAACCATTAGGCTACCCCACCGCCTCTTAACAGCGTTAGATCCTGATACTGTAGTACATGAAAGCAGGTATGGATCAGTATGGGAAATTGTTACTGAGTACTGTCCTACATAAATGTATGTTTAGTGAGAGAATGTGAAATAACTACCCTGTACTGTAAAGAGAATGATCAAGAATAATTACAGTGCATCTCATGATACAGATGTCACTGTAGACGACACCTGTACCACAGAATGATTAACAGTCCCAGAGGCTTATGCATGCATGTTTGGTTCAGTAACGATCAGTTACACGTGAAGTGCATACATATATGCATGATCAGAGCATGTCAATACCATAATAGCAAGTGAGTGAGTGAGTTGGGTTTTGCCCCGCTTTTAGCAATATTCCTGCAACATCACGGCAGGGGACACCAGAAATGGTCTTCACACTATGTACCATGTAGGGAATCAAACCAGGGTCTTCAGCATGATGTGCCAACGCTTTAACCACTAGACTACCCCACCGACCCCATACCATGATACTATTGTAAGGCACAGCCTTCCTCTCCCTCCACAGACACAGTTCATATATCACAGGTAGATATGATAATCACATATGTAACTAGTTCTCAGGGAACAGTGAATCATCTCCCTACTGACTGGTGATCTTAGCACTACAACACCTGTCCATGCCACATTATGGGAGCAGTCATAATGCTAAATTGTCTTAGGCCGTGGGTTCTGTTCCAGGGCCAAGTACATTAAACTGACCTCTAGAAATGAAGGATCTTTGGTGCAGCCTAGAGAGTCAGTGCTCCACAAAAAAACTGCTGAAACTGACCACTCCAGAATAAGGTGTTCCCCACTGGGATCACTCACATCAATACCAATAATTAGGTTTGAAAAGAAAAATGTTTAAAACTTTGTGAGATAAAATATACAGTAAAATGTTTACCGAGAAGCTGGTAGATTTGTGCAACTGTACTGTGGGAAGTGTACGAGTGAACGAGTAAGGTTATATTCTCATCAGGAAGACAATGTTGCAAGGAGACTCACTAGCAAACCACTACGAAATGCCAAACACTAACAACTAAAGAATAACTTTTGGTATGTAATTGTATCATTATCTCAAAGCCTCAGTTCCTTCAACAGTAAGATTGAGAAACAGATCAGACCAAATTATTTTCTTGTTTTTCAGAAATGCCTTCATAAATTTTGCACACACACACACAAAATGATGTGTTCGACTGAAAATTGATGCTTGTAAACATCTGTTTGTTCATATTTTTGTTAAAACCTTGGAAAATGTTTTTGAGGAAATTTGCCATAAAACGACGAATAAAATTTGTCAGGCTTTCACTGCCAATATATCAGTAACCAGGCACCTGGCCCCAAGATGTAAGGAACAACTCAAGAGTCATTCCTTTGGAGGTAGAAGTGGAAATAGGCAAACGTGAACCTTCTTCTTAAAACACTTGACCAAGTTCATAAATATTATCTAAATGCTTACTAAATGTCAACTTGTCTAAAATATACAGATTAGTAAAATGGAAGAAACGTATAATTAAAACTATATAACGAGAGGAGTAAAATGCCAGACATAACAACGAAACAACTGTTGTTGACTAAGAACCAGTGTCATCATCTCTTTGGCATTGTTGGAGCCACGCCCATCAAGCGGAATATAAACGCTGCTATTTTCTCATAAGTGAGAAACATGAGAGCTGCAGTGAGCACGGTCTGTATCAGCTTCGTCTCCATCCCCTTGTACAACGCTTGTATGCCCTGTGTCCTGGAACACAACAAGAAGGTCACTGCTACAAGATCAGCTTCCTTAAATGAGTGAATCAGTCGAGTTTATACTACCAAGAGTATTTCAGTAACAGCATGACATGCCAGCCTGACCTGAAAGTACCTACTGCCACTAAACACAATCAGGGGGATTCCAACCAGTCAGCATACATTAATGGCAAACCCAAATATTGCAACTCTGAACCAACAGTGATGGCACCCTAGATGACTGGGTCACAGAGTGAGGATGTCTGACAAACATACTGTCAGATAATTTGTTAGATTACACCCATCCCACAAACCACAGTTAATGTCTGCCAAGTAAACACAACACAAGCAGACTCCTGTCTTATTATCATTGTTTTGTATGCATTATGTTTATGAACATATCTCAACATACCTGACGAGATGATGAAGATTCTGTAGAATAGACTGTGTGGATTCCAGTTTGGAAAATCCGGCCTGGAAGTGGAAACAGCTTCAGTGATGATGGTTAATTTACACTTTTGTGCCACAAAGCACTGACACATAAAACTTTACTGTTGATATCTGTTACCATGGTAATTATACATTACGGTAATTCATACACAAAATCTGGAACTGAATTTGGATATCCAAAAGCTGACACAACATGGAAAAACCTGGTTGGTGAACCAAGTGTGTTGGAGTTCCACCTCTCAGAGTCTGATACAACTCCACAGAGACTCCAGAGAATGACAACTTGAGACTGAGAGCTTCCCAACACTAAAGCCAGATCGTATCTTAAATAAGTGAATGACATTTTACACCCTGACTAAAAGTTTACCTGAGAAAGATCTCAACCTAAGACCAAGATCTTACCTTGAGGCTGAGATCTTATCCTAAGATCGATATCTTACCCTAGACTGATATCTTATACCTGAGACTGAAATCTTACCCTTAGATGGATATCTTACCCTGAGACTGAGATCATACCCTGAGATGGATATCTTACCCTGAGACTCAGATCTTACCCTGAGATGGATATCTTACCCTGAGACTGAGATCTTACTCTGAGATGGATATCTTACCCTGAGACTAAGATCTTACTCTGAGATGGATATCTTACCCTGAGACTGAGATCTTACCCTGAGACTGAGATCTTACCCTGGGATGGATATCTTACCCTGAGACTGAGATCTTACTCTGAGATGGATATCTTACCCTGAGATGGATATGTTACCCTGAGACTGAGATCTTACCCTGGGATGGATATCTTACCCTGAGACTGAGATCTTACTCTGAGATGGATATCTTACCCTGAGATGGATATCTTACCCTGAGATGGATATCTTACCCTGAGACTGAGATCTTACTCTGAGATGGATATCTTACCCTGAGACTGAGATCTTACTCTGAGATGGATATCTAACCCTGAGACTGAGATCTTACCCTGAGACTGAGATCTTACCCTGGGATGGATATCTTACCCTGAGACTGAGATCTTACCCTGAGATGGATATCTTACCCTGAGATGGATATCTTACCCTGAGACTGAGATCTTACCCTGAGACTGAGATCTTACCCTGAGACTGATATCTTACCCTGAGGCGTGACTGGATGACTTGCAGAGGGTAAGTTAAGACTGTGGCTGCTGCCTTTGCTATTGCACCAATCACAAAGTAGAGGAAACCACTCAACTCCTGTAACCATAGCAACACAATGTAAATACATAATAAGCTATACATTGTCAAATTATTGACAATGGGACTAAAGCATAAATGTTCTAACAAGCTTTAATAAGTAAATGAGTGAATGAGTGAGTTGGGTTTTATGCCGCTTTTAGCAATATTCCAGCAATATCACGGCGAGGGACACTAGAAATGGGCTACACATGTTGTGCCCATACATGTGGGGAATCGAACCCGGTCTTCGCGGATGAGCTTTAACCACTAGGTACCCCAATGCGCCTAATAAGTAAATGAGTAAGTGAATGTGATGCATAAAGATGTATAAGTATCCTATTCTTCATCAGATCAACCACTAGTTTCACTTTCTGGATTGCATATTGTGGTACCCTGATGTTCCTCACATCAACCACTGGTTTCACCTGGTTGATTGCATGTCATGGTAACTTGTGGTCATTGTATCAACCACTGGTTTAACTACCCTGACTGTTATCAGGTCAGCTGACAAATCTGGAACACTGGTGACATGACAACCTTCATACACTGATATACCTCTCACATGTACAATATACACCTTTCAACTCTACAATCTACCTCATTTCCTCCCAGTGGCATACTCAAAAAGCTATCAAGGAGTGAATGAGTGAGTTTAGTTTTACGCCCTCAGCAATATTCCAGCTATGTGGCAGCGGTCTGTAAATAATCGAGTCTGGACCAGACAATCCAGTGATCAACAGCATAAGCATAGATCTGCGCAATTGGGAACCGATGTCATGTGTCAACCAAGCCAACGAGCCTGACCACCCGATCCCGTTAGTCGCCTCTTACGACAATCATGGGTTACTGAAGGTTCATTCTAACCTGGACCTTCACGGGTAGCTATCAAGGAAATAATATAACACATGTTTTGGCCATACACGTTTCACCGCTAACTTACTGGAGTTCTGAAAAGCTTCTGGAAGTATCGTTTGATGAACTCATACACCATGAACTGTATAGCTGGGTTGGAAGCCAGGAGCAGGGAGGGCATGGTGCCATTCCACAGACCCAACACACCCTCAGCCTTCACGATCTTTGTCAGGCAGTCTACAAATATAACAGTGAGTCTGGTCAGTATTTCAGAGATATCATGGTGTCATATGAATGTCAGTAGATGTTCGAAAGTAAGGCAGGTAGAATATTTCCAGGTGATTAAGTTTCATACAACCCTAGACTGCTGACTGGTGTGGGATAATGGTCAGGAAGTATCTGGAATTAAAACCAGGAACAATGCCTGGCACTGGTTCCTAAATAATACAACCTTACACAGCAGCTTCTACATATGAGTAAATGGACCTCACAAACACAAAAATGGAAGCACAATATCAGGGACTAGGACTGTTCTGATATGAAGAGCTAACACACAGTACAAACTGTTTTGATGAATACATCCAATCAAAAGCAACCGTCATACTTGGTTTTCCATGAAACACAAATGGTCTTCATGTTCTTGGCTCTTGGAGTGATCTAGGTTAAACTGTTCCTTCCACTTGCATACGGGAATACTCTAAATATGTGCAATAATTGCCTACTCATTCTTTCTCATTTGGGGGGTGAAGTCTAGAAGGCATTTTAGTCAAAGTGAAAGTATATATTTATCAACAACATAAGGTCTTCTTTAATAATATTCACTTGTCATGTGCTGCAACAGGACTGACTGACTGAGTTTTAGTTTTACGCCGCTTTTAGCAATATTCCAGCAATATCACGGCGGGGGACACCAGAAATGGGCTTAAGCTGCAACAGGAAACAGATGATGCATTTTTAGGAATTGAGATAACCAGTTGCTTACACAGGAGAGATTGTGAAGCGAAATATGATTTTAACTTAAAACATTTCGAATACTTATACACATCAAGATTATCATTGTATGTTTGTTTCACATCACAAAGAACAGAATTAGTACCACTTGATCCAATGTTATATTTGGCTCATAGACTGACTGGGTGGGTATCTGTTGGAGACAGCGTTGAGACTTACCTCAGATACCCTGAACTTTCAACAGGGTGTGTTGGAGACAATACTGACATATATCCCGGATACCCTGGACTTGCAACAGTCTGTTAGACATAGTACTGACACTTACCCCAGATACCCTGGACTTTCAACAGGGTCTGTTAGACATAGTACTGACACTTACCCCAGATACCCTGGACTTTCAACAGGGTCTGTTAGACATAGTACTGACACTTACCCAGATACACTGGACTTTCAACAGGGTCTGTTAGACATAGTACTGACACTTACCCCAGATACCCTGGACTTTCAAGAGGATCTGTTAGACATAGTACTGACACTTACCCAGATACCCTGGACTTTCAACAGAGTCTGTTAGACACAGTACTGACACTTACCCAGATACCCTGGACTTTCAACAGAGTCTGTTAGATATAGTACTGACACTTACCCCAGATACCCTGGACTTTCAAGAGGATCTGTTAGACATAGTACTGACACTTACCCAGATACCCTGGACTTTCAACAGAGTCTGTTAGACACAGTACTGACACTTACCCCAGATACCCTGGACTTTCAAGAGGATCTGTTAGACATAGTACTGACACTTACCCAGATACCCTGGACTTTCAACAGAGTCTGTTAGACATAGTACTGACACTTACCCCAGATACCCTGGACTTTCAACAGGGTCTGTTAGACATAGTACTGACACTTACCCAGATACCCTGGACTTTCAACAGGGTCTGTTAGACATAGTACTGACACTTACCCCAGATACCCTGGACTTTCAACAGGGTCTGTTAGACATAGTACTGACACTTACCCCAGATACCCTGGACTTTCAACAGAGTCTGTTAGACATAGTACTGACACTTACCCCAGATACCCTGGACTTTCAACAGGGTCTGTTAGACATAGTACTGACACTTACCCAGATACCCTGGACTTTCAACAGGGTCTGTTAGACATAGTACTGACACTTACCCCAGATACCCTGGACTTTCAAGAGGATCTGTTAGACATAGTACTGACACTTACCCCAGATACCCTGAACTTTCAACAGGGTGTGTTGGAGACAATACTGACATATATCCCGGATACCCTGGACTTGCAACAGTCTGTTAGACATAGTACTGACACTTACCCCAGATACCCTGGACTTTCAACAGGGTCTGTTAGACATAGTACTGACACTTACCCAGATACACTGGACTTTCAACAGGGTCTGTTAGACATAGTACTGACACTTACCCCAGATACCCTGGACTTTCAAGAGGATCTGTTAGACATAGTACTGACACTTACCCAGATACCCTGGACTTTCAACAGAGTCTGTTAGACACAGTACTGACACTTACCCAGATACCCTGGACTTTCAACAGAGTCTGTTAGATATAGTACTGACACTTACCCCAGATACCCTGGACTTTCAACAGGGTCTGTTAGACATAGTACTGACACTTACCCCAGATACCCTGGACTTTCAACAGGGTCTGTTAGACATAGTACTGACACTTACCCCAGATACCCTGGACTTTCAACAGGGTCTGTTAGACATAGTACTGACACTTACCCCAGATACCCTTGTAATGCTGTGTCGTGTGCTCCTCATACTTCTTGGTGTGGAGTTTAGCCCCCTGCAGCTTTATACGTGTGTTGACAACCCAGAGAGGAGTCGTCATTAAGACATTGACAATTCCTGAAACATACAATGATACTTAGCAAATTGACATATACATATACTAACTGTAATCATATTATCAATCTAATAATCTCGTGTCAGTGACCTTCAACTCCATGATGCAGATATATCTTTCACCTTCACTGGGCTTCAATCTCACATATTTGCGTTAGAGCACAAAATTGCATTAAAGGGAAGTAACTCTGTAATTTACCAAATCAGAATTTATATTCAGACAAAACAACATAGCAATGTCTGAATAAGAGAGTGAATGTAGACTGGTCAAGACTGAGGATTACTTTTTGTTGGATAAGCAAGGGTATGGGGTGTTTTCATGCTGCTTGAAAATGTACTGTATTTATATCTGCACAGTCAGTGTTAAAGTGCCACAGCATGATTTCTAGTAACAACTTGTAGCACTTGACTTGTAGTAACAATATATATTGTAACAACTGTAGATCTGCATCAATCAGCGATCCAAATTCATGATGACCAATCTGAGTAAGATAGGGGGTAAGATAGGCTGTATTTCAGCCATAATATTGTTACCAGAGCACCTACTATCTATACTATCGCATAACCTCCAGTCAACAAAGGCTTGTACAGAAAAAAGTCATATATCAATAAGACTGATGCAAATATGTTGCGGAAAACTGAGCCTGCTTAACTACCAAACATTGTCACAACAGAACGAGACGCAACTGACAGGGTATTCCAGTTACTGTTATGTTTTTACCACTAAGGACCATATGTTATATTTTGGACTCAACACAAAAAGTACTAGAATCTGTACTTTACTAACAAAGTGTAATTCCAAATATAACATATGTTACATTTGACCACTTTCTAAATGGCATTGTGTAATCACACTATGGACCAGTTTTGAGAAATATAAAAAAGGCCAGAAATCTTATATATTTTAACAATTAAATATAATAAAACAGGGAAAGATGTTTTAACCCCTCTTTGAGCTAAGATAATCATAAGCTAATGTTCATGTATAGCACTTATGACCATCTTAACACAAGGAGTGATTCGATAATCTACATCCAGGAGTTGACATGACATCACTTAGACACCCTTCTTTACATAGAAACCTAAGCAGTATGTCTCAAATACTGATGCTCACCTCATCTGACATGATGTACAGTAGTCCAGCCTAGGGGTTAAAGCGTTTATTCATAGATTTTGATCCCCCAATATATGAAGCCCATTTCTGGTGTCCCTGGACTTGATAATTTTGCAACATCGCCACAAACGGCATAAATCCATCCTCACTCACCCGAGACAAATCCGAGGAACAGATCCTTGCTTGGTGCAGCTTTCTCTCCTGGTCCAATGAAAACACTCTTTAGGCCATTATATGTGTAGAAATACACAAAGTTGGACAGGCATAGGGACGACACGACTGAGAACCATCCCCGGTATATGCCATGGCTGAAATATAGCACAAGCAGCAGAGCTGAGCATTGCCTGAAATTTTGCAACATGATACATATCACGAGACACCAAACCAAACAGTAAGAAATAATGAAATCACTGAAATAAGTGATCGGCATCAACCATGATTAACCATTTTCTTTTAGTACATTTCAAACTCACAATTTATCCGACCAAAATGCACATCCAATATTACCATGTTTCGTGATGCTGACAAAGCTTCTTATGCTGATAGGGGAGATAACTCCATCAGATCCAGTTCTATTGTGCATGTCAAGATTTCACAAACTGACAATTCAAGTATTGTCTGCACCCAAGTATCAACAACACTGCAGGTATCTGTGAATCATTACAGCGTTCCCAAGGGAAGGAACTCTGCACAACAATTTGGGGTACCTTAAATGACTAGTGTACACATTCTGCCATGATGTTCGTGTTGATGGATTACATACATAGGTAACCCAGTATGTCCTGATATGTATGTCAAATAGCTTACAGTCAAATCCCGATGAGTCGAATCGCTGGGAACCAAGTAATAAATTCGACTTATCGATGTATTCGAGACATAGGTATGTCTATGAGGGTAGAAAAAATGATGATCCAGTCCTAATTCCTCCGCCTAAGCATTTGTTTATCTAATGATTTCCATATCACTAATAGGGGCACCTTATCAGTTCCAGTCTGATTAGCACAGACAGTGATTTCCGTAAAATCACTAATCTGCCTTTTGAACTCACCCGTCAATGGCGGAAAGGTGTGAGCCGTGCTGGTTTGTTAATTGGATCAGTTTGCTACACCAATTAACTTCTCATTGACTGACTTCGGCTTATGTATACAAGGTTGCTGTTGTTTGAATCTCATGGGACCAAATTTCCTTCTCGAGTCATCGTGTGTATTTATGAGACAAATTCGTGTAACCGGTATTCAAATGATGACAACTATAACGGGGAATGGTCGGGACCGACAGGTACTTCGAGTTATGCATAATATTTGAGACACCGGCATTCGACTCACCGGGATTTGACTGTACATGCAGGACAGTGTTATTAAGAACTCACATTCCCTCTTCTTTAATGATATCACCTATCACTTGAGGCGTGTGCTTGGACTCTCGCTGATCATCAACTACAAATACAAAAGTTAATACATATTCATTTTCACAAATCTAAACCAATTTCATACAATGGGTAAAAGCTGCAAAAACTGAGTATCTGATCATAAATTCTGTTGCCTCCTTAGGCAGTGACTTCACTCAGAGACCACAGGGGTGGAAATAACTTTAAAATTGCTAGTGTACTCCGGTACAGTGGCATGTGTAAAATCACTTGCCCTGATAATTTTTCCACTATACCGGCCGTTTTCTTGTTGCTTTTTTAAATAAACAACATAATTAATATTGGAAAGTCAACTGGACACCGGTACAGTGTGATATACAAATTTGCTTGCCCAACAGAAAAAAATGCTGGACTCGGGGGTCGGGCAATGGGTTATTTCTATCCCTGGACCATATAATACATGGTCTCTGTATGGTCTCTGCTTCACTCAAAAAATGTCTGTCAAGACCATACAGTTTTATAGATAACTCATATTTTTTGTAATGACTTTTCAGGGCTATTATCTGCTCTTCATCAGGGGAATACTGAGACAGCACATTGAGATATCATATCCATGTTTACACAGGACTGTCATTCACCTTGCCTCACAGAGGAATCAGGATTCCATGAGATGTTGTAGAACCACCAAGATTTAACACACAGCTTCTAAAGCACCACTGATCTACAAACCAAGGTGCCTTGTGCAAAAACCTCAGTTTGTGGTAAGTTATGGGAGTTATGATCACTTTAATCAATATTATTGTACCAATGTGCTACTGTAATTGAAATCGTTTATCAAGCTCAAGTCACAATACAAATACAAACAAGTAATATATTACAAATAACCTACTTTGAAGTCGGGTCCGAGCTGTGTCCAAGGGGAAGAAGACAGTAATGGCGACCACACTTCCCTGATGATAAAAGATGATCATGATGATGTTATGGTTATGAACTGTGTTCGAAATATGCACGGACAGTGCAGTGTTCAGCACAAATCAGCATGCGGGAAGATGTGAGAGCTCTCCAAACAAACAAGAAGATAATCTCCAGATACAAAAGGAAGACTTTGGAAAAGAATGTTTCAGATGACACGGGGGTGATGAATTAATTTATGACAGTTGTTTGACAGTAAAATCAATTTTTGTTCAGAAATTTCATTTGTATTCTTTTGTTCAACTTTGACAAAAATATTGAAGGCCAGAAGTGCTCAGTGTTTTGTTACAAACGCTGGTTATGTTGATTTCATACCTTAATTGTGTACAAAGTGATTTCAGGGTTAATCTCTGCGTGTTAAAGGGGAAGTGTACACGAAAAAATCACGTTTTTTCTTATGTGAACCAAAATGGAATTTTTGAATTACTTAATATCAATGTTTGAAAATATACACTCATTTTCCTTACAATGAATGTATAACCCGCACTTTAAGTGCTGAAATGTTATGCCATTATGAGGCCTCTGTTTGCCGAGCTAAACAGGCCAGAGTTACTGCCCTTTGATTATGATGTCATTGGTGCCAGCTGATTTAGACTGGTCTGCTGTCTGGTCACAAAGCCAAAAGATGTAAATACTGACTTTAATCACGCGAAAACACGGATGTAAAATACGAAAGAAGCATTAGAAGTGACAGTGTAAGCAGCAAGATAGAAATGATCGTGTGTATTTTCATTCATAACCTCACCTCAATGGAAATATCAAATATGTATAACAATGTTGACGTACGTATGACATCACTATCAGGAAGCGACATTCTCAGGATGTTTGGAAGGAAACTTTTGTTGTTTCAAGCAACGTATCTGCATCAATGTGACATGTAAGAAGTCCGACATGTTCTGGTAATCTGATGGTTGTTATTTTTTTTGTTTTCAGTGTAATCAAGGGCAATAGTCAGACATGGATAGCAGTGCCGTCATGGTTGTGTATCAGTTATCGTCAGTCATGGCGTCACACTTACGGAAACTATATTTTGTGTTGAATCGTGGAAATAATTGGAATACACCTATTTTTTTTTAGCTATCCTTTGCTACGATGCTCTTTCCATGCATGTTCTAAAACTTATGAGCAAGTGTATGCAACGAGTACACGAACGGATCACTCATAGTATAAGAAAAACGATACACAGTTTAAAATCTGAGATGTGCTTTGTTTACATTTCAAACAAGTGGTACTTTCACAGCGTGACACTTGATATATACTGAACAGCAAAAGAAACGCAAGTTTCGAAAAAATGAAATCTCATTAAGGTAAGCGTTCATGTTTATGGAACGCTAATGGTAAAGTGACGTAATGATCCAAGATGAGATGATGTCATGCAATTTGACGTCCATATGAACCATTCGCACAAACACACCAACAGTGCAGCAAAACCATAATTTTAGCACGGCCATTGGAAAGTTGCACGGAGGTAGCTCTGCAACCGCTGTAGCTAGACAATTGGGCTGTCATCTTACCACCATTACACGACTTGCTCAACGTCATCAGCAAAGCGGGTTGCTGCTGATCATCCCCTGTACCGGACGGCAACGAGTGACAACTCATGCGCAAGATCGGTTCATCCGGGTCACTCATCTAAGGAACCGAACTCAAGCACCAACAGTAACAGCCGCCTTAGTTCATGGGTCAAGGGGAGCAGTGTCCAGTGATACGATTAGGCGTCGTCTTCGGGCTGCTGGAATCCACTGCCGAAGGCCATATGTGGGGCCAATTTTGACACGCCAACAACGCCAGCGACGTTTGCATCCCTCCCACAGCAGGGGCGTTGATGGATTATCTGGCTCAAAACAACATTAACGTTTTTCCATGGCCGTCTCTTTCCCCGTATATGGCTCCCATTGAACATTCTGGGATGAAATTGGATGGAGGACTTGTGCAGGTAGACAGCCACTCACACTTGCACAGTTGGAACAGAGATTGGTGTTTGAGCGGAACCAATTGCCTCAGGCCTTCTTTCAGACTCTAATGAACTCAATGAGGCCACGTTGCACGGCCTGAGTGTAAGCTCAAGGTGGCCATACACGCGACTAAAGAGACTGTCACTTTTCGCATTCAGGGGTATCTCCATTTGACGGACTGTGATCAATTTGAACTTATTGCAATTCAATGTCAACAGCAACTTTCAGCTGTTAAATTGACAGTGTTATCTATAGAATAAATGATTAGACATGATTTTTGTTGTCTTCTATTCACAAACTTGACAAAAAGCCAGACTTGCGTTTCTTTTGCTGTTCAGTATATTTTGCAGGATTTCACTGAGGCACTTGGTGACAAAGACCATTTGTTATTTTATTTCGAACTGTATGAGGAATTCATGGATTCATGTACAGAAGATGGTTTTGAATTATAGTTGTGATGTAATGGGCAAATCATAACCGACATGCGTGTGACGTAATTTTATAAACACTGTATGAAAGTTCACTTCGACGTTTGTGTTTGCGTATTTTCCAAAATATTCAAAGCGATTCTCGGTTCATAGACGCTGTTTCAGAATTGGTGATTCCATCAAAGAGATACCGGTGATCACAATTATACGGGATTTTAAAAAAAAATCAACAACAACTAATTCTCCCAGTAAAATTCGACATTTAAATCAAGACATACTATAAATTACACAAAACGCAATGAATTGTAATTTAGTAATGTGTCAAAACTGGGGAGATGTACGATGCATGTAACTTTCAGTAGATATGCCCAACAATGTGCGGATGACATCATCGAAAAACGAAACAAAACTCAAAACTGCGAATTGTATCTTTTGATGTATTTGCATATGGTTTCGACATCAAAGTGAAGGTTGAAGAAGAGGGACATATATTGTACGATTTATGAAGGAATGTAAAAAACGTAGAATGCCTTCACATTTACCGATGGAAAGACCATTGACTCAGATTGAATGTTGTACAATTTGGTTACGTGGTAACTCTTATTGTATCAGTGTGGAACTGACAACATAGCCAGCTGACGGCCAGGCCACAGCTGGATTAAAACAGTAGCCTGCGCATCGAGAGACTAGAACCACACCTATACCTGCACCTCGCGAAATGGGTCTAAGAAGGTCCAACAACGTCATTCGTTTATCATTTGGGCACCAATGACGTCATTTCCAAGGGACATAAGCCATGGTGTGTTCATTGTGGACATAGAACACTCGGTTAATGTGGAAACTCTGAATCGATATAACACAAAAAACTGAATTACTTCTGATATCTGTATTGTTCTGGTTATAAAACTACTTGACAAAGATTTCTTGTGATGAAAAAGTGGAAGACAAAAAGGTTTATTTTCGTGTAAACTTGCCCTTTAAAATGGAAATCAATTGTAGGGGGGGTGAAATTTTTGTTTCCTGTATTTGAATCATGCATAGCATTTGTCAGCTTAATCATTGTTGATTGGACAAACATTGTTTATCATCAATCATTATTGATCATTAAAAGGCAGATGTTGGGTTTTTCAAACAGGTTATTGTGTGACAAAAAGCTCAGTTATAGGTATAGACAATAAGAATGTAGCTTACATTTTAGGATAAAATATAGTGTGGTCGGTATATTGAAGCACTATATTTACAGTTATATTTTATTTCGAGTACTTTTGTTGGCACCGTGTATTCATCGCTTTTGGCCATGGGAGCCATGTCAATTTACACTTATCAAAGGGGTACACAAAGTCTGGTAAGACTCAGCCCAAACCCCCCGTAAATTATAACAATGAGGATATATATAATCAGGTAATATAATTTGACTAGAAGAGGGGATATGGGCGGAAGTCTTTCCCAAAGTTTGTTGTCTCGACCACCAGTTGTCTGACTACAATTTTGTTAACCTGCATTTGCTGAATGGGTTAGGCGGCTGACTTTGTGTGATGGCTCTTAGGTGCTTGACTCTGAGGGTGTGAAGTGTAATTCCAAATATAACATACGTTACATTTGAACACTTTCTAAGCTGACTATGACATTGACCATTTTGATAGATGCAGAACAAAAGTTAATTTTATAAAGGTTTTCAATTACAATGGTAATTTGTTACTGACAGCGCTTGTTGAGGCAGACATCTTTTGATCCACTAATAAAAGTGTAGTTCATATAATATCAAAGAACATGAATAAAAAATATGCTTCAAAACTGTTTCGCACAAATACTCAACAAACACAGTATCATATGACATGAAGATACCTGATTGTCCGGTGAAGAGATATATACATAACACTTCATGGTGTGAGCTCGTGTATTCTGTTTTATAAAAAATGTACTGAAGTAGCGTTCATGAGACATAACTGACAAAAATGATAAAACAGTGGCAACTTACCACGGCACCTGAAACAGCATGTACAAGGTTTGAATACGAGAACAGCTTTGACAAAGCTCCTGCGTGGATCATTTTCGTCACTCCATTTTTCAGCTCAAGTTCAACTTTAGGAGCTACAGCAGACGAACATAACCTGATTGAAACAGGAACCGGATATCCCCCTATGTTCATGGTAGAGCAGGTCACACGTTTTTAATGTTGACAGGCCGGCGTCAACTGTACCGCTTATCAAACCCAGTCTGCTCCTGAACTCACTGGTACTTTTCGTGTATGCATAGACCACACACCCGTGTAGTCCTTTAATTTTAGGAAAATATTTCTTTGGGAACGAGTTGAGTATTACAGAGAACCCTTGATGATTAGTAAATATGTATTTATCGTTTTACTGTCTCCTATCGGTGCTCATAACTGACGAAAATATTGCAAACATCACCCAAAAGAAGTAAAGGGTTTTACTCAATATTCGATTGAAAATGGTCCCCTCATTTCTCAGAAACTTCCGGGACATGTGACATGTAAGGTGAAGGTCGTATATCCGGAACTGGATTTTGCTTCGGATCCTTGACTGACGATTTGTTTTGTTCATCCCTGAGACGCGACAACCAGTGTACGCCAGCTGATATTGGGTATATGTGAAATATATTACGCGCGGGGAAGGAAATATTTTAAATCGACAGAATCGTTCACTTGCTTAATAAAGTGTAGGCTGTAGCCTGTTTCAGGTGCGTGGAATCAGCTGGTTAAGTGGAACAGAGAAACAGATCACTACTACATCAGAGTAGTCCGAGGACTGTCAGTTTGACGTCAGTGCCGAGACCTCGATAATGGACAAACTGACAGCATTGTCTGGGATACTGTTCTTCACGGCCGATGTCTTTGCTATTGGAAGTCTCGCCAATCCTGACTGGATTGTAACCAGTGTTGCTGGTAAGTTAAACACTGACATGTTGTGGCTAAGATGGACTTCGCAGGTCATTGACACAGTGTTTGTCAGAGTCCATCATGCAAGCAGACAGTCTTTCTTCCATTACCCAGTGAGGGAATATTCCTCAACAAAATATTTGAGTGACTATAGCACTATATATCACGTAAAATACGTAATTTCAGATGCCCCACGGCATATGGACTCAGGAAATCATGCAATGATGTCAGCATTTTTCATTTTCTTCTTGTGTGTAAGTGCTACATTCATGACAATCTTTTTTCAAGAAAATATTTTCTTTGGCATTTTCAGGCAATATGAGACTTGGTCTCACTCGACAATGTCAAATGATTCATGGGCGGCCAGAAATCTGCACATCACCCCGACTATCAACCGAGTGGATGTTTTCATTTGTCTGTATCGTGGGAGGGATTCTGTGCCTGACTGCCACATGTGCTCTGCTATTTGCCTCCCACTGGCGGAGGGCCACAGTTCGCTACTCAAGATGGTTAGCATTCATTGGGAGTAAGTTTATTTTTGATGAAAGTATTATTTTTTTGTCTGAATAAGTACTCATTACAACATGAAGTATATATTTAGGACGAATTTATCCCCAATACACCATATACACAATGTGAATACCCTCTACACTATGTGATATTGAACAGATTAAATCCCCAGTACACTTTGTAGTATTGAAAAGATTAAATGCCCAGTACAACCTATACTTCTGAACAGATTCAATCTGCAGTACACCTTGTAATATCTTAGCAGATTAATGTAATTGGTAAAGTATACAAAGAAAGATGAACATAGAATATACTCCAGGACATCATGGTATAGTACAATATTTAGTATGTGTTACAAGAGGCAAAAATTCTATGAAGGTTGATTAGGTAGGTCTGAACTCCTCAGAGCTCAGTGCCTCTACCTTAGCTTAGCTGCAGTGCTGAATATAATGTTCAATTTCCACAATTACTTCCAGTGACTTTGTTTTGCCTGGCCGCCATTGTGTTCCCGGTGGGTTTCCATATCGACGAGATCGGCGGTCAACCCTACAAGCTGCCTAATCATACGCAAGTCGGATCATCATATGTTCTCTTCATCATGGCCATCTTCTTCACCATTATCTCCGAACTCTTCACAGGGAAGGTGTGCCTTCCAGTTCTGTGACCATCACTCAGAACAGTGCTGGGTTTTTTAACAGGGCTGTTTGGAGTTAGGTTATGATAAACAGTAAACAAAAGACAGTGATCTGAGACATAACGTTGTTATTATGGGGTAATGGAGGCAATGACATGGAATCTCAGTTTTACATGTCTTGCCACAATGATAATTACATGACTGTGACATGCAACATATATTACAGTTGAATCTCATGTCTCAGTTGTTTAAATGTATCGTTTATCTTATAATTGTCCATAGACTCAGTGTTATATAACAATGGCAGTCCCACTGTGTTAATACTCTTGTTCCCCTGATGACGAAAGTCTGACTGTAACAAATTACATTTTTCATAAAAACATGGCTGCTGAAGAGAAACATCAAAATACAGCAGACGAGGACACGTCACTAGAAGCAGACATGACTGGTCTCCTCTACCCTGTCAGGGTGCAACATGTTCATACTCCTTGTTCCCTGTCCTGGGATCTGCTGATGGCTTAGCACCAAACCAGTGATCATGAGGCAGGACCAAATTATTATGCTTTTCTGAAACACAGGGACCATGAATTGTTTTCAAAGGGATCACTGTCATCAAGCACTGTTCAGGATATAAAGTATAAATGCCAGTAACTGTTGATGATTTAGGATGTGTCAGAATGTCCTGCGAGTCAGAACAGGTCTAATGTAGAATCTGTCGCTGTTTTCAGAGATCTAATGTAGGATCTTTGACTGTGTTCATGTGTCTAATGTAGGATCTTTTACTGTGTTCATGGGTCTAATGTAGGATCTCTTACTGTGTTCATGGGTCTAATGTAGGATCTCTTACTGTGTTTATGTGTCTAATGTAGGATCTCTTACTGTGTTCATGGGTGTAATGTAGGATCTCTTACTGTGTTTAGGCATGTAATCCAGGATCTCTTCTGTATATGGGGATCTTCTGTTGGATTTTTCTTGCTGGTACATGGTTTGGTGGCCTATGGCTGGGTTACTTACGTTGTTTCAGAAAGTCATACATCTCAAGTCAGATGCACTCCCCAGAGGCACTTCTAAACAGTGTCATTTACCCTGAGGTGTTGTATTGGCATTTTAATACTAAGTAAATGAGACCAGTTCACTACATATGACCACACAGGTGCATGCTTTGTGTTAAATTATATTTTTGTTACATTTATTCAGCAAGGTGAGTTATCTGTGCTCATTGACATAATCTGATAACAACTTTTGAATATATTCAACTATTTTTATTGTTCCCCATCCTTGTATGTAGGAGGTTGACTGTCTCATCTTAATGTGTCTTCCAACCTGCTCAACCGCCTCCATGTTCTAGTGTAGAGAGCGTCTGGAAACAGAAGGACAGGGGCTCCACCCTATTTGTGTCAGACCAAAAGACATTAAAAGAAGGTACTTGTTGTCACCCTGTCTGATGTTCAGCATTAAGTAAATAAAACCAAGGACTGGTCAGCTTGTCAGTATGTTGTGTCTGAGTAGGGTACCCATGTTAGTCTGGGACATGATAGCTCAGTAAGCTAGCAATATATAATCGGTACTTAAATAGATCCTGACTAGTGCCATAGCCGCTGGCTCATACATGAAGACACACATGAAGACACACATGCATGCACATCGTTATATACCGGTATGTGCAGTAATCTTAGACTTGACATTATATTTCACCTAACCTGTCCTCACATATAACCAGCTTAAGGAGCAGCAATATTCTGGAAAAGGCCAGAACAAATAAATTAACCCTAACATTATAGTTTGTCATTGTATCCCAGTCATGTAGGTCAGTGCTCATGTTATCAGTCACCAGTTTGTCTAGTCCAGATTTGATTATTACAGACTGCACACTGCAGCTGCAGACTGCTCATACAATTGTATGAGAACATGATCAGATACTCTTGTGTGTGGTGGGATGCTTGAGAACGTTATCAGATAGTCTTACATGTGGTGGGATGCTTGAGAACGTGATCAAATAGTCTTACATGTGGTGGGATGCTTGAGAACGAGATCAGATAGTCTTGTGTGTGGTGGGATGCTTGAGAACGAGATCAGATAGTCTTACATGTGGTGGGATGCTTGAGAACGAGATCAGATAGTCTTACATGTGGTGGGATGCTTGAGAACGAGATCAGATAGTCTTACATGTGGTGGGATGCTTGAGAACGAGATCAGATAGTCTTGTGTTTCATTGAATGCTTGAGAACGTGATCAGATAGTCTTGTGTTTCATGGAATGCTTGAGAACGTGATCACATAGTCTTGTGTTTGGTGGGATGCTTGAGAACATGATCAGATAGTTGTGTGTTTGGTGGGATGCTTGAAAACATGATCAGATAGTTGTGTGTTTGGTGGGATGCTTGAGAACGTGATCAGATAGTTGTGTGTTTGGTGGGATGCTTGAGAACGTGATCAGATAGTTGTGTGTTTGGTGGGATGCTTGAGAACGTGATCAGATAGTTGTGTGTTTGGTGGGATGCTTGAGAACATGATCAGATAGTTGTGTGTTTGGTGGGATGCTTGAGAACGTGATCAGATAGTTGTGTGTTTGGTGGGATGCTTGAGAATGTGATTAGATAGTCGTGTTTGTGGTGGGATGCTTGAGAACGAACATGATCAGATAGTTGTGTGTTTGGTGGGATGCTTGAGAACGTGATTAGATAATCATGTGTTTGGTAGGAAGCTTGAGAACGTGATCAGATAGTTGTGTGTTTCGTGGGATGCTTGAGAATGTGATTAGATAGTTGTGTGTTTGGTGGGATGCTTGAGAACGTGATTAGATAGTCGTGTGTGTGGTGGGATGCTTGAGAACGTGATCAGATAGTTGTGTGTTTGATGGGATGCTTGAGAATGTGATCACATAGTCTTGTGTTTGGTGGGATGCTTGAGAACATGATCAGATAGTTGTGTGTTTGGTGGGATGCTTGAGAACGTGATTAGATAGTCGTGTGTGTGGTGAGATGCTTGAGAACATGATCAGATAGTCTTTCTCGTGGGATGCTTGAGAATGTGATCAGATAGTCTTGGGTCTCGTGGGAGGCTTGAGAATGTGATCAGATACTTTTGTATGTGGAGGGATGCGTGAATTATAAGTGGTGAAAGTATATGATCACCCATTAAGTGAAATAATTTCAGTGTGTCAGTTATAGATGGCTCAAAGGTCACAAATATACTGATTATGATAGTTTGCTGGAGCATTTTATAATTGCCTTTTCTGAATAAAGTTTTCATTGAGACATAAAACTGGTTGTCATTAATATATGGTTGTGGCAGAAATACATGTAGTTTCTTGGGACCATTTTGTCTCGATTCTTAATAGGTTCTCTGTACCTCATGTTCAGTACAAGATAACTAGGAAGTGGACAAGCCGAAAATAGGTCTGAACTACTTTACTGAGACAGTAGTGTGGGGTTGGTGAAACGGTCATCACCTAGCTGTGATGGACTGGTTGTGTTATTGGTTCAAATGTTAGTATGGAAAGTATTGTATTTAATACATGAAACTGTTTCATCCTTTCATCCACTCTCTTATATCAGGTGTTTGTGAAAGAAGTATATCATTCAGTGAGTCTATTTACCTGTACAAACACACACTTTACCATGCAAATACCTTTATGTTTGGATCCCAAGCCATGACCCGCTCATTTCTTTCTTTCATATCAAAGTTTCATGTAAACAACATTAAAGGGAGGTAATCTCCTGTTTAAACGTAAAAGCACATACAATGTTAATTATACAAACAGTTCAACCCCGAACAGCAGACTTCCATGACATGACAGAAATATCCGGTCGTCCCTTGTTCGGTGACCACCTTCCAACGTTGTTTGGTTGTTTTGTGTCACTGAACTTTGGCTGGACATACCAACAACAATCAATCAAATTTTTACAAAATGTTTTATTTGAATAAAATATGATGTGTACAACATTACTAAAATCATTTTTGTAACGTATAATATGTCATGTAATGTACTGCGAAAAAACCAAAATAAATGACAATACCCACTGAACACCTTCAATGTTAAAACCGAAGTCATTCATCAAAATGCAGAAAAAAAATGCTGCCCTCAGAATGAGACATATTTTGTTCAAATCTTACCTATAACCTTGAACAACTCATAATGTGATACTTTCTTTACTGGAAGACCATAAACACCACTGGCATTAGTGTTCAGAAGGTTTCATCAGGCCAGGGAGATACTTGTTTAGTCAAAAATTGAGATGACTTCAAAGTTATAATTTTCTTGAATTAAGAGGTCTTATAAGATTTTGTATTAAATTTACGTTCAATTATTTAAACCTAAATATTAATGCTTCTTCCTCTGTTCTACACCTGACATCCATTGTCACTTCTGAGGCCAGACATTTTTAAATTTGGACTGAATCTGCCAATACTAAAATATTGAAATGTGACATAGGAGATGCAAAGCAGTGGGTTTATAATTCCACTGATTGTTGAAAAACATAAATGTCATTTACTGCTGTTGTCAATATAAATTAAATATTTAAAAAACAATCATCTAAACCTAATATTGATCAGTATCTTCAAAACTCTCTGCCCAAAAATTCTATTTAAAACATTTTGGGGAATTAAAAACTAAATAATTTACCTTGGAATGTTTTCCATTTCTTTTGTTACCTGAATATGTCAGTGACCAAACAGAAAACTGCTAGCAGCCTTAAAATCAATTTTTTCAAATATTAATTAGTTTTCAACATCCTACTTTAGATCTGGCATGACAGTGGGAAATAAATATTCAAAATACCTTCCACATGACTAGACTCAAACTAAAAGACATTGTAAAACCATATAAAGATAGGAATACATAAATATCGGCCACGCCTGCACGTGACATGATAAACCACTGGGAAAACATGACCCTGTTAACACAACAGCAAAACGTACAATATGTTAGAATAAGTGACTAGTGTATGAGCTGAATCAGAGTATTACACCTACCATAAATCCTTGAACAGATGTCAGACATCAACCAGGTAAACACTTTCAATTTCCATGAATTTGAGACGTATAATAGTGGTTGGATTTAGGGCTATATAAATTTTCAGTCTGCAGTCTGCATTCTGTGTAAGACCCTGCATCTGTTTGAGGGAGGTGTTTGTTCACATCACTAGTCTGCCCCAGTGTGTATTCAAGGCAGGCATGTAGTCAATGATTAAAGGTTGGAGCTTTACTGGACAGTGTGGCTGCTCCTACCTGTATACAGTGTATGAAATAAGGCCCGTCCGACCGCCCGAGATGGGATAGATTTCTGCTGGACGGTCTAATTTTACAGCTAGCCAGCCCGATGGACGGGTGAAAAAAACATATTTCAATAACATGCCCACTGGCACGGACTGGTTAAATCTCTTCTGGGCTGGTAAGTTTTTGAAGTTACCAGCCCAGATGTCTGGCTGGGTTTTCGGCTTATGTCATACACTGCTGTATACAGCAGAAATGGTTATGAATCTAGTGAATCTAGTGCCAGATGTTACTGTTAGCAACTATGTATGTTTTTGGAGCTCTTCGATCAAATATGAAAACAGTTGGAAAGAAATTTACCTTTTATATTTGTTTTCCTTAAATGGTTCATGAATACAGTGTGCGAAATTTACGCTGGTCCTGTGGTCCCTGGCTAGTGAAACTTCACCAGGACCATTTAATGATAAGTTTGCGTTTGTTCTGGTGTCCAGGGAATTTTGTATTGATACTTAAGTAAATCTACGAATATTATTTTGGACCAGTACAGACATGACCACAATTATTGTCCACTCACTGGTCCTGTGGCCTAGTGGGAAATTTTTAAAGGTTTCTTTCCGTGTGAATAACCTTTAAAGAGGATTTACCTATAAATCGGAGCCAATATGTTTTCCTGTTGTATGAAAAGCTGGATTTGTGACCTTGTTTGAAACTATACAAAGAGTATCTCACCCAAGACTCTTCCAAGATGAAATATTTCAAGACATTTATCAAAATTACAAATATGCAAGGCTTGCAAAGGATATTGTAACTTTTATAAATAAGTTTTGATTGAGTTTGGGAGACACAAGAATGAGACTCTATTTATCCCCCTCAAATCACTCAGTCATAGTGTTATGACTCAACCACCTATCCAATATTGACAATCTCTCACCATGACAACAAGTCCTGTAGGTAACATGTTGATGTCAGTGCAGAAAGGTAAAGCCAATGATACCAATGAAAATATATATTTGATAGAAGAAAAATATAAAATAAATATGTTTTCCTCAATTCAAAATACTGGATTTGAATCATATTTATAGTACTGATAAATGTATAAACATATTTCATAGAATAGTTCTCTAAAGATTAAGACAACCATGAGTGTTTTTTCCACATGAGTTTCCCTATTTTCAATATTCAGATGATATTCAATTGCAACTGTTTCCAGTTATTGGCAAACATTTTATATATTCAAAGAAATAATTTGAATATGGATGAATTCTA